CCACACACACTCACCACGCCACACCACCACACACACACACACACACACACACACACACACACACCTGCACACACACACAAAAGGTCCCACCCACCCGCGCTGCCGTAGCCGCTGCTGAGGTAGTCGGCGCCAGCGCTGCCGTACCCGCCCGCCCCGCCCTCCTGAGGCTCCAGATCCAGCGAATCAAACAGCTTGCGCTTCTTGAAGCGCTTGCGGGACTTCCTGCGGGGTGGGTGAGGGGCAAACGGCGGCATGTGGGGTGCGGGGGGGCGCGGGGGGGGGCATGTGGGGTGTAGGGTGGCAGGCGGCGGACTGTACTGAGGGGCGGCGCAGGGCGGAGGTGGTGTGGGAGGGAGGGAGGGTGGGGCGGGGATGGGATGGGGCGGGCGGGCGCGTGGTGGCGGTAGTGGAGGAGCAGCTGCGGAGCAGCTGCGGCTGGCCTTCCCCAAGGCGCCCTCGCGGCTCCTCCGCGCCACCCACACAGCCAGACCGCAAGGCAGCGCAACCCTATCTCCGCCACCGTCCACCCACCCACCCACCCATCCACCACACACTCTCACTTGGAGCTGTTGAGAGTGCGGGTCAGGTAATTGGAGAGTTGCATGGCGTCCAGGCGCGGGGCGGCGGCCAGCAGCAGGCGCAGCACCTCCTCGTGGGTCTGCGGTACAGGCGGTACATGCATGCACGGCGGTACCGTTATGGCTAAGTGCGCGGCGCAGTGGGGGGGGGGGGGTGAAGCCGGCGGCCGCACGTGGGCACACCAATCGGGCCCAAGGCCACTGGGCTTCCCCGTTCCGCATCATCAGCATCACACACAAAGCGCACACAGCGCATGCACACACACACACATGTGCAGCGCACATAGCGCAAAACAGCAAACAGCGCGCGCAAAAACATCGTGAGATGCTGCCCTGGACACACTGCACACTGAACAAAACCACACTTGCAAACACACGCATGCACACACACACACAACAGGCCCCGCCCACGCCCGCCCACGCCCCCCCACCTGCGTCACCGAGTCCACCAGCTTCACCAGAACCTGATCCACCGCCAGCCGCCACAGCGTGTCCTGCACCTGGCACGCGCCGCCTGCGGCGCAGGGCAGCGGGAGGCGGGGAGGCGAGGGTGGCCTGCGTGGAGCTGCGTGGGGGCGGGGGTGGCCACTGCTGCTGCGGCGGCTGGGCACCACCCGCGGCGGCAGCGGGGCGGCGGGCGCGGTGTGCTGGGGGAGGCGGGAAGGGAGGGGGGAGGCCTTGAAAGCAAGAAAGCAAGAAAGCAAGAATATGCACAGATTGAGGGAGCCGACTGGATGCAGGCCCGGAGGGAGGGCTTGCCTTTGACCAGCTGCGTCATGCGTAGTGCTAGGGTGAATCCAAAGGGCGCAAACTCGGGGATGGCCTTGTCACTCATCTTCTGCATCGCACCGGCCTGCGTGTGCCGTGGCAGGTGGCAGGACGGAGGGAGGGCAGGGGGGAGTGGGCAAGGGAAGCGGCGAGGTTAAGGCGCAGCCCGTACTGGGCATGGAAGGACAAGGGTGGTTGTGCGTGGGGGTGGTGTTGGTGGTGGTGTGTGTGGGGTGGTGTTAGTGTGTATGTGGTGTGTGTGGTGTGTGTGGTGTGTTTGTGCGCGCCCCAGGCGCCACGCCAGCCCTCCCGCCCCCACCCACCATGGCGTGCAGCAGCAACTTGGCGGTGGTCAGGTCCCGGGCTGCCATCCGTTCTAGCAAGTACACCTGCAGCGGGCACACGGCGAGGGGGGGCCCAGGGGTTGAGCATGGTAGTGTGTGGTGGGGTTGGGTTGGGTTGGGTTGGGTTGGGTGGTGTGGTGCGGTGTGGCGTGCAGGCATAGAAGCGAGCGTAATGTCCGGTCCCAACGGCCCAACCAGGTGGGTAACAGAAAATGGGGTGGGGCATGGGCTCAGGCCAGGGAGCGGTGTGCAGGCCGGGGCAGGCGGGCGCCGCGGCTGCAACCCCTAAAATCGGCGATGTGCCCGCAGTGTTGAATGCATGTACCACCATGTACCGCCTCCCCGTACCGCCCTGTACCGCCCCCCGTTGCACCTGCGTTATCT